CTGGCTGCGCTGGGCGGCTACAACGAGCGCTCGACGGTCGCCGCGGTGGGCTCCTTCTCGAGCGCGGCTCAGCCGCAGGGCCCGCGCCCGCAGGGGCACAGCCGGTGAGTGCAGAACCTGTTGTCGCCGAAGAGGGAAGGAACGTACTTCTTAGCTGCACTGGCCGTGTGAAATGTTTTCTTTGCAAGCGGGTTATAATTTGTTTTCTTCTAGTACTGTTTTGCTTGTGCAATGTTAGAATTGTGTTGCACTCATCTTATGGCCTTGACGTTTGTTGGCGGGGGATGAAAGAGCTTTTGAAAAGATGAGAGATGTGGTTATGTTTATCAACACTTTGTTTACTTCTTTTTTTAAAAAAAACTTGCTCTTTCTCATATGTGAGCACAAGAAAATTAAATTATTCCATAAAATGTTGTTGTTTTGTTCATATTTAATTTGCATATGTCACTGCGAGATAATATATTAAGAGACTAAAGTTGGATCATGTGTTGCTCCTTGAAGCATTTGAATTTTAGCAAAAATTGGTCTTGCCCCGTGTGGAAAAAATAAATAAGGTAAAGGAGGAGAAACTAGCACGGAATTCTGCTCAGAGAACTGAGTAATTACAGCCGCCTTTGACTTTCTTTGGAACAAAGTGGTCATTTATTGTCCAAAACTTCCAGTCCTTTCACAGGTGGTGGCATGCTGCAACTGTTGCTCTTAGCTGCAAGTGAAATTTTAAAAGGGAGGAAAATATTGTTTGAAAATTTCAATGACACTGGAAGATGTAATTAGAAGCTAAATAACCATTTGTTTTTCTTTTGCAGTATCTCTGTTCGCTGTGGAAAGAAGCATAAGCTAGAAGAAGAGGCAGAAGGGTAAATTAAATTGTCTTTTATAGCCCGAACGTTTTTAATTTGTTGGTTTTGTTTTTTTTTTTTCTATAAAGATTTGAGCACATATCACCTACAACATACACAGGAAGGAAGAAAGATTCTATCATTGTTTCTATTTGGAACTCTTCCCCTGAATTGCACATAAGCCCATTTCAGTAACTAATTTAATCGTGTAGCACTTATTTTCTTGCATGGGTACCCACATTTAATCAGAGCAATATGGATTTATTTTCTTCGTGGAGGTTGTGTTTCCATAGTACATCAAATCTATTGAAATGCACATGACTTTCTATGATGTTTTTTTCTGTAGAATACCACATTTCTCTTTTGACAATTGTAATTTTATTTTGTTTCCTAGTTGTCCTGTGAGGAAGAAGAGACTGACAGGAGGCAAAAATTGCCCTTTGAATCCCAACACTGAAGAATGGATTCTCTGTGCAGGTCAGCAGGCAGCTGGGGAGGTAGCAAGTCATTGTGATGGCAGCGGTCCTGAAACTGCCATGTTAGAAATTCCCTGTGAAGAAATGGATCAGACAATGGGGGAACAGCAATGCGAGGTTGCTCGCAGGAAGCTTCAGGAAATTGAGGACAGGTAAATGCAGGGATTGAGTAGACTGGCTTTGCTGAGCTTTCCCTTTTTTGGTGGGCATTAAGGGTTCAATTTAGCACTTAGTGTGATAACTCTGCTGTTAAGTCTGAGATGAACCTTCTGTTCAAGTGATTTCTTTTTAGGCTACCTATGGCCCTGTGAGTCTTAGGGCTGGTACTGTGATCTGAAACTGAGGGTGCTAGAGCAAATGATGCTGACTGAATAACCACCTTTTCACAATCATGCGGCACCGGTATACCATAATGGGGTTTTATGCTCTTTTGTGAGTATCTAGAGCTCAAATTTTAACTGATGTCATCTGGTCAGACTTGCTCAGCTTCTTTCAACCAATTGCAGCTTGTTATGGGATTAATATTTCTAAATGCTCGAGATGGATGTGAGTTTGTCAGTGTAGAGAATAATATGAACCAGAGAGATCTCTCCACACATATGCAATAATACTGAGGTTCCCCTTGCTGTTAAACACCAGATGGCTTGATGTTGGGGTAATGGGGTGGTTATGCGCAGACTATTGCAATCATTTAATAAACGTACTGTGCATTCTTACCTTGGGAAGATTTGTGGGAATGTCACATATATATGTCAGATGATTGCAGTTGACCTAGTATTCCAAAATATCTAAAATGACCACTGCAGACAAAAGTAATCTAAATTATAAAACAAGATTCTTTTTTAGATGATTACTCCATAGATGATGCGTGAAGGGAAGCAAGGTACTGTTAGATTATTTTATTTTTTCGTGGGTAAATCAGAGTAGTGCTGTATGTCTTTATTATCTGACTATATCTGCATTACAAAGTCTGCTTTGGACCCCTCATAGGATTGTCCCCATCCCTCCCAGCTACTCTGGTAAATTTTCTTTAAAAGGTTTACCAAAACCAAAGGAGATACCTCCATTTTGTTGTAATTGCTTCAACTTTTTGTGCCGTTTTAATCTCTGAGAAATTGGTGCAACATCCTTAAAGGTTAAGAACTGTGTTCAGTAGCTTTTCAGTAATTCTTAAAGTTAAGATACGGGGAACTGAGCAGACAAAGCTACTGCATAACTGAGGCTCATTCCTATAATGTGACTGAATTGTACACTTTCCCCTGAAGTGCATTTATTTATTTTCTCTCAGTTTGTTTCTGCATTGCATGCTGCTGGATGATGCAGGGATAACAAAGCTAGCTCAGGTACCAGAACTGGCATAACTGCTCAAGGGGCTTCTATGGCAACAGTCATTCTCAGGGTATATTGGCCCAAGAGAGACTCATGTTAACACGGCCCCGCTGCTTCTGGTACCCAGCCTGTGTCAGATATCTACACTGTACAGTGCAGTGCACGTGGATGTAACTGTAGTCTGCAGTGGATGTGCCTGTTAACAGTATGCTCAATAGTGTTTATCTCCCTCTTCCCCCTCCATTCCTAGGATAATTGATGAAGATGAGGAAGTTCATGCTGATGGAAATGTTAGCAATCTGCCCACTCTTATCCTGTCAGATACCCTTAAAAAAGGGATGAAGAGGGATTTTGGTGAAGTCCTGACAAAGAAAATAATAGAATCTATGTAAGTTCTGGAGGAAATCATGGTGCTATGTAGCTGTCACATGCAAATGAAAAGAGAGACCCAGTCTTATGTTTGTGGAGATGTCCTTAATTCATGATGCAGCCAGTGTTGTATAACAGACCATTCATCTGGTCAAAATTAGGAAAAACTATCCTAATGTAAAAAAGAAGTAAATGTAACTATAGTGGTCATCAAGCTGTCTGGTTTGTATCCTCATTTGTGCAGAGTGAAATTTCTTGAATAAACCATTATACCTTGATTTTTATGTATGTAAGTTTCCAAAAGAACGAGGTCCTGAAGTGTGACCAACAGTGGTTGTGAAGTTTGGTGCAAAAGAAAAGAACAAAAATACAGGGTTAGAACTAGAAGTAATGGAACTAGTTAAAGAAGAGGCAATTTAATAGGGGGCAGGGGGAAAAGATGTATGGATTCTGGAATATAGTTCCAGGCTAGCACAAAGGATGAAGATACTCATTGGTCTTCTGCATTAAGCAGTGGTGATTGGAGAACTTAAATTTAACTGGGACTCCATCCCTTCTAGGAGCCGTCCTTCTATGGAGCTTGTGCTATGGAAACCTCTTCCTGAATTTCTCACAGATAAACTGAAGTCCACTTCTGTTAAGAACGTCAAGCAGCAGAGTACAGAAGGATGTCAAGCTAAGCAGTCAACACCAAGAGCTGCTTTTGACCCACAGACTGAAACGTTCCCTGAATCACAACAGACTGCCATGTCTCCAGATCCATATGCTAGTTTGGGAATCTCTGGGTGTGCAGAAGAAGAAATGGAGTTGTAGATGCCAGATTTTAGACTGGAAGTGGTGAGCTTCTGATGTTTTTTATTGCTGTTTGTTGGTTTCCTCTTTCTTTCTGGTTTGATGTGTGAATATGAAGTTTCATTATTTGTTTTTGGTTTTGCTACTAACAATCGTAAGAACGTGGATTGGCCAGACACAACTTAAGGAAACTGAAAAAAACCCAAGATTTCTGTACTCTGGTCTGTTAAATATTCTTGGGTTTACTGAGAAGGTAATCCAGAGGCCTTTGGAAAAAGGAAGTAGCTTTCCATCTTGTTTAATGGTGAAATATCCTCTTAATTGTCCTTGGTAAAGTATAAAATCCAAATACTGAATGTAACTGTGGCTTAAGCCACATCGTTCCCTTACTGAGCCATTAAGACTTTAGTGCATATACTATGCTTGGTCACTTAGTTAAATTTGAAGTACAAAAAGGTGTAGAAAGGAAGAAATATTTTTGAATCGAGTCACAGATAGAAAAGCAATCCCTATGGAAATACAGCTTTTCACGTTATTTCATCTGTGGCTGGTTTATACTTGACGTAAACTCAAATATAGAAATTATACATTCTGCAGTATGGTAGGGAAGGAATGTTACAGCTGAGCGTAAGCCTCTGGCTTTGCAGAAAGTAAAACCATCTACTAACTTGCAAGATGCCTACTAACTTTAGTCAGTTTTGGTTTGTTGGCTCCTAAACTGTGTTTGTGGGTTTTTGATGTCCCGCTTCCCAAATGATGCAAAGCCTGGAGAACACTGGTTCTCAGCCAGCAATTCACATTTTACGTTGTGCTGTGAGTCTTTGTACGCATAGAGTTGGAAAGTCAGTTGAAGACAGTGTAACTTTTGGTTAAATAAATGGCATCCTTTAATTTTGATAAACATGGCAAGTAAATCAGGTGACAGGGAGCTGATTTTCTGGCATAAAGAGCATCAAATGCCGATTATCGTCCGTAACCAAGTCCCAGACTTTGAGACTGCTGGCATTGGTGGCGAAATAAAGAAGATGCTTGTCTTCTTCCTCAGAGAATCTAGACTTAAATTTATTCCAGAACATGTGCCATTAATATAACATCACATAGTTTGTACAGATGTATGCCAAAATAATTTTGCACCCTGCTTAGGTGCAAAGAAAAGGAATCCTCGATGAGTTATTGCTTGTACCTTTCCTCAATGCGTAACAGTTCCATTATGCTTAAAACCCTTGAACAAGGCAGAGGATTTTGTCCTCTGTTCTTAAGCCCTTGAGCTTTCTCAGGGAGATCTGGATTGAGGCTTTTCATAAGAAATTCCTTTCCAAGTAATAGGTTCTGTTCAGAGTCTTAGCATCCCAGTCTGGTTTTGACATCTTGCTAACATAAAGGAGCAAGTACACAGTAATGCAGCTGTTTGCATAAGAAGATCCACTCTTCCTTTGCACAGCTAATTGATAATCTTTGTGATTATATTTTTTTAAGGTTGAATAATCCCTAGTTGATAGTTTAAAATCCAGCTTCTCTTTTTGCAGTCATCCTTTCTTTTCTTTTGGCTGACAGCAGAAGCTTTGTTCAAAAGATATGACTATCTGTTAAATGCTGTCTATCTTGCTGCTCTTGTGGAAGGCTGTGTGAGATTTGCTGTCTCTTGCTAAAACATTTCAGAGCTTCACTAAAAACATTCCAACATTTGAATAGGTATTACTCTGGAAACTGGTGTATAATTTTACCATTCTGGAACTTTTATTAAATTGGAGAATGTGCGCAGCTTTATCTTGATAATATGTCTTAATTTCATTTCGGAGTCTGCTATAAATCTCTTGCATGTACTGTGTAAAATTTCTCATGTACTATTAAGCTGCAGAACATGCTTAAAATCTACAGCCTTTGTCATGCTGCATTGCTTGAGTATGAAGTAAAGCAATGCAGTTTGGAGAAGGCTGTAGTCACTGCAGGTAGAAAATGTGGTGCCTCTAAATAATTACCTGGTTTTAAGCTTGCAGGATTATAGTGAAAGTTTAAGGTTGGAACTGGTTTAGCTGATAGATCTGAATCCTAAATAAACTGAAAAGGATAAAAAATGCAAAAATTTGATGAAACCACCTCAGCAACACTAAAATTGTGACAGAGGATGTAGAAAACTGTGGGAGGCCTAAATACGTCACATCCAAGTGCAGTTTTTTTCCTTTTAAAAATGCTGCCAAATTGCATATCAAATTTGCAGAAGAATAAATTTTTGTATATGGATTTTAAGTATACTCTTTTTTTCCTGTTAGGTTGTACCAAAGGTTGACTTTGAGAGGTGTATTTCCTCTTGATCATTTGATGCTAATATGGCTTCACTGACCCGTTGTTCTGCCCTCTGAAACAAGAATGTAGTTGTGGCCTATTGACATAGACCATGTGATGGGAAAAAACTGCGTCCAAGTAATTTGCTTTGGTAGAAAACTTTATTTTTTCATAATTCATTTCTGCCCTTGTGATAGGAGAGAACAGGGTTGAATCACTTAAGCTGATGCAGGAGAAGAGTGAGGTCGAGCAGGAATCGAGTATCTAAGAGGACTGAGCAAGATTCTTGCTATAGCATTTATTTCAAGAGGGGGAGAGAAGAAGAAGCTACTGGGTCTTTTCAAACTTCTGTATTTGTAACAGTTTCATTTGTTGTTGGCTTCCTTAAAAGACTTTTATTAATGCTGTTTACAAGCGAGATGGCAAATGTGATGCAGTATTAGAAAAAACCTTATTTTGAAATATGGAAGATCTGATTCTGGTCTGTCTTCTCCTGGGACCAAATCACCCTTTGTATGTCAGTTTTCAATAAATTTTCTAAAATATTTTTTAGATGGCTGTGTTTCATTCTTAGTAAAAGCGAAAACCTTGGGAGTGTATGTCCAGTCCTTCAACTGGAGGGTAAAACACTCTTCTGGCCTAAGAAGGTTTCTAATGTAACTGCGTAGTCCCAAGGGCATGTCCCTGCTTTCCTCCATGTTGTTCAACGGGATGGGGGGACCATGGCAGGGTAGGCTACATCTGAAGCTGCCAGAAAGGAACAGTTGCTGTAAATCTGTCATGACCCAAATGTCTCTAACATTAAAGCAAAGACGTACCAAAAGTGTTGCTACAGCTTGTTTTCAGACAGTTCGTTTTACTTCAGACTAAAATTAAGAATGCCTAGCTTGCTTAGTTCTGTATATGATCAAGAAATGTTTTTTAAAAAAAAAAATTCAAATTTTAATGATTTTATTGTAACACTTTTTTTAAAAAACCACTTTTATTTAACCTCTTCTGTTTAGGAGTTTTTCAAGCAGCTGAAAGATAAAGATGGGCGTGCTAGACCAGTGTTACCTTTGCTTTCAAAACAAGAGAAAATGGCAGTTCAGATTTATATTAAAAAATAGTAAAAAGCCCTGAGGTTTTTTCCTGGTTTTGACTGGAACAGAGTTAGTTTTTATTTCTAGCAGCTAGAAGAGCTGTGTGTTTTGGGTTTAGAATGGGATTCGTCAAGAGAAGAACGCTGATAGTGCACTGGTGTTTACAGTTGGCACTGAGGCCTCCAGGGCCCTTCAGCTTCCCGTGCTCCTGCCAGTGTGCGGGGGCACGGCCGGGACGGAGGGCCGCAGCTCCCCTTAGGATGTGAACTGAGATTTAGGACTGAGGGCTGAATTGGACGGTGGAGTTCTTCATCCCGCGA